CCTTCTCACGAATCATGCATGAACAGCCGATTCTCCATAATTAGATCAACTAGGAAAGAATTATGCATGTTACGACTGTGGAGGAGAAGCAAAATTGCATTTATTGTTCCATATGTCAGACAAAGAGGAGCCTGAAGTTAACTTTGCGTTTCTAGCTTCATTGGCAGCCGGGAACTGTGCTCTCAACACTTTCGAGCGCAATCGCAGAAAAAAGCGTGGGAGATAATGTTCCACGTGTGATATTGATCTGTTCAGGAAAGGTGGATCTGAAAGTCGACTTTACACCTTTGATAATGTTTATACTGAAAGTTATGGCATTTAGATTTCAGCATTCCTCACTCGGGAAAGTTAATTTAGTCGAACAGGCCGATAGGTAGAACTGTAAAAATCCATACAGGCACGGTTTGCCCACCGAGATTTTCTGCTTTTGTGAAAACGCATGATAAAACGTTACTGAGGACCAAAATAGAGCAGTCAACAGGTATCTAGCAAAAAGCATGAAACTGCATGCTTTTTTTTAGTAATAGATAATATAAAACGTATGTAATGCCCTTTTGAAATTAGGTGGTAAAAAAACTGAATTTGAAGATAGGCGTTCAGTGAAGCAGTTTTTTTATTTTAACTGGACGGCGCTTTTTTCCCCTAAATGCCTGGATAGCACGACATCCGAAGTTAACTATAAACGACGTTGTTTTTTAGTAGTGTCAAATTGTTCTAATAACTAGCTCTAACTAGATGCAGTTCATAGCAGCTGAAAAATGGGGTGGACTGCCTCAAAACACTAACAGTCAGATTTAAAAAGGAAAAATTTTCAAAATAGATTAGCGGAAGAACGTTTTATGCAGACTTTTTAACATTTTCAATGTATCAAAGTGCTGCTGCTTGCAGTACGAGGCACAGAATCTGCAAACACTCTCTGAAAGAACTGAAGAAACTACCGCGGTGTTTTTTCAGCGCTGTTTATGTTTCATTCGCTTCAGATAGTATTTGCTGGCGATTTGCGTGGCGTAATTCATACCACAATGATATTAACCAACAAAAGCGATTCACGACAAGCGTTCAAAGTAAAGTGCACACGCAATGATTTATTTCGTATAAGACCGGCTACAGGAATTTTGGATTATGGACAGAGCATTCAAATAGATATTACTTACAGGTTCACACAGTTTCCTTGCCTTTTCGGCGCGTTCTGTGTGATGACATGTACTTTCGCCCATCTTTCACCCGTAACTTTTATGCGAATTGCAGCTCACACGGAAGCTACCCTTTTCAGATCCCAGTACAGCGGAATCAACGTTAATATCAGCGAACCAATCCTCTTTAGATATAACTTATCAAAGTCCCGCCAGATTTAAGGGTTTTTAAATATGGAGTTCTACCCTTTCTTCATTCCACCTGCTCCTTCCTTCATCACATTGGTATTTCCTATTGTAGAAGTTCACTAAACTGTTTGGAATTTCAACTCTTGCTTTCTGTTAAGACATGAGTTGCAAGCGGATCTTTATATCTGTGCTTTTTAATGTGTGTTCATATAGCTCCAAAACTGCAAATGGCAGGGATCTGGAAAATTAGAAACAGAATTTTTAATCATTTACTGAGTCAGCAAAATCTGCTGTTGCTTTGCGATTTATTTTCAAATGTTGTAAATCGTGAGTGAAGAAGCAACACATCAGAACGCAGGGAGATGATTTAGTATTAATTTTCAAACCCCGCTACAAGAAATTCGAGTTTAACAGTGCTTGACTCTTTGCTGTTGCATCTTGCTTCTTAAATCAAGTGCAGCCTGAATGGCGGCGAGAACTTTCCAAATTTTACACTTCCTTGCTGTTAATAAAATCGCTGATGAGGGCTTTTAGCTTTTGTCTGAAATACTCTAAGTTTTCCTCAAATTGATCGAATAGTCGGATTTTGGAAGTGTCTGCTCTTCAAACGTATGTGAGCAGGCGGAGGGTCGTGTCAGCAAAACATCGTTTCGACCGCCAGTACTTTCTTTAACAGTAACCCGAAATCTGGTTGGTCAAAAAAAAAATATGTGGTGTGGGGTGCATGTTGAAAAACGCCCATGCATCGTTCTACTAGAGCACTGGGTTTCTACTTTCTGATACAGTTCTATTTGTTGTTTCGTTCTGAATAACTTTGTTGA